AAACACAACTTAAGTGACAACAATAGCTGGAAACTAAGTTCTGAATTGTTGGCACGTACTATAGGTGTTGTGCGATGGTAGATAAAGATCCCCAGAACAACAGCACATATAAATGTTCCCAGTAAAGAGGTTGCTGTCAAACAAATACCCAAAGGGTCATGATAGGAGAGAAACTCTGTCTTCTTAGGAACACAGTAATCACGCTGTGAGTTTGACCAAAAATCCTCTGGACAACTGGTGCACTCCAAGGAGCCTGACAAAGAGGGGTTGATGGTTAAATGCATCCTATATTTCACAGAAATTAAATCAATTATGTCATACAGAATGATAAACACCCACTGCTCTTGTTAGTGATTTTTCCCTCAGAACAAGGGATGCAGTCAAAACAGCATTCAGGCTCTCTCTTCCTTCTCACCATGTGGGTACCAGGAGGACAACTCTCACTGCATACTGATCGAGGTGGCTATTGGACATAAAAAATAAATATTTATTGCCTGCTACAATTCTATATACTGTAAATGTCAAATAAAAACATATCTAACCTTTTTGGATTCAAAGTTCCAGAAGATTTTGCCTTCATCAAGTATGAGTTCTTCACCTTTGAAAGCTGACCTTTTGACCTCACCTACATTTTGAACTTTAGTGCTTCCATCAGGGAGCCACAACCAGTTAATAACATCATAAATTGGTACCACATCACCATTCTCATCAAATGACACTTGATCCCCAGATGGAGTGGTGAAGTTTACCTTTTCCATGTAATAAACAAGCTGTTTTGTGCGAGTGTGTATTCCGTGTACTTTTAGTGCTTTGAGTTTTGTGCATTGTCTGGACTTTTCATAGGTTCCTGCCTTTTGGTTTCTACATAACACTGGATGTCCACTCATCTGTCACTGATGACTTTGTTAGTGCCTCTTCTTAATTGGCTGGTCACAGGAGCACGTTAAGTTTGGGAAGACACTCTAGAAAAGTGTTGGAGAGCTATGTGTGTCTGGGAGCCTGGCATTGTCACTACTCTTAAGTTCTGATTGTCGCACATTTTGAACTGAGAACAAACTGCACTGAAGTTTGAAAGTTGAGACCTGTATTTAAGTCCTGCCCGAGTTGTTTTCATGAAATGATCAGCATGGTTTTGATCACCATCAGTTCAAGACAGACCAAATATACAAGAATATAGAGTAAAACTGCTAAATGAATCCAACTTGAAAGCTTAGTTTATTAAAATAATTTCAATTACATTTATCTTCCTTATCTTCCTGGGGACAGGAAGAGACTGAACAGGGTGATCCGAAGGGCCAGCTCTGTTCT